AAAGAGAGCATAAACTACTGAACATCATAGTGGAAAAAAGTCTAATTTTCCATAGTATGAGTTTGAACTGTAACTTGTATGTGAAATACACGAAAGCTCTTAGTCTGTTTGATGAAGGAATTCTAGATTGAACCATCATCTCTTCAGTATGTGGGCAGCAATTCATGAATTACTGGTGAGAGATGAAGTAGTAGGCCTTTGATATCTAAACCGTACTCGGGGTTTTTTTTTTTGTTTTTTTTTTTGGTACTGATGTTATTTTAGTGCAAGACTGCTCTTTGAAGCAGAAAGTGTTTTATCTTTAAATAATTGACTTCCACAATCCTATGGATTCTTGCAAGGTTTCATTACTATGGGAATATGAATTATTTGATTTAGTAAGGTTAGTTTGTAGACTCCCAAGTACTGTGGTTATTGTGGTATATCAAGGTAATAGCTAACACTGAGGTCTTTCTATATGCCAGGTAATATAAATGCTATAGATGTACTATCTCATTTAAGCCTCACTACTGCCACACGAGGTAGGTACTGCTATTTCTCTTTCACAGATGAAGAACTGGACTTTGTTAACAAGAATATTTCTAGGCTCACAGGACTCATGCCTGCTTTTTTAAAAATTTTGTAAACATAACTTTGCTTATTAGCAATTTCAGTTTTTTTTTTTAAGAATTTGGAATTCCACAAAAATAAATGGCTTACTCCTAAACTACTTACTCTTTGGTGCTTTGCTGATTGAGCACTTTTATTTAACAAGATTCTCACATTTGGCTTTTGATTGGCCTGACAGGAGTGCATATTGTTAGTGGTTTTGAATGTCAGAGACTGTATGCTTTTTCTCTGAACATCCTTTATTTTGTCATTCTCCCCACCCCCTTTTTAACCATCTTAAATATATGTGATGGAAGGGCCTAATCTCTTTTTATCAGGCAAACTGGTGATTTTATTTAGTACTTTTGGAACGATGATAATGTCACTAGGTTTTTTAAAAATTGCTTTTTAAATGATGGATTTTAAAAGGAAATTTCATATAAAGTCCTAGATAAATTTCACCTCTTGTTCTGTGGCAGGCAGAAGAATATAGAACATCGATTTATCATTTCATGTTCTAAGTTGAATAAATTGCACCTATATCCATTGAAATGGTTGTAACTTGATACCAGTGCTTTAGTTTTGTTTATCACAATATTTACACCCCCAACTTCATTTACAGCTCAATTTTACATCGAAACAATAAAGATTAGGGAAAAATTGGTTTATAATTAACTATCAGCAATTATGAGAAATGGTATTTCTGTTTTCACAGTTCTATGTAGAAGTATATATCCCTTAATTTAAAGTAATAATTCAAATGAAAGATATTTTACTGATGTGGGGGACAAATGAGTTATTTTCCTTTTAGGCTGCAGGGAAATTGGCAAAATATATTATGGAGAAATATTTTATATTACTGATATTATGGAGAAATATTTTTTATTACTGATGTCATGACACTCATTTCCAGTCATTTTTTAATATGGTTGGTAGTGTTTCTTAGTTAACCAAATACTTTATTAAGTAGATTTTTATTGTACATAGTAGACAACAAATTTGAATTATAGTTTAGGATAGATACAAAGTATTAAATACCTAATAAGCAGAAGTGCCCTGATATTCAGTCACCTAGACTTTAAAAATTTAGTTTGAGAGCTGCAAAATTTATAGAGAAGACCAAGGCTAAAGCTTACTTTTGCAATTATGTTGATCCTGATGAATCAGGATTATTTATTTAATGGTAAAATCTCCTGGCTTCTACCTTACCCCAATTTGAAATTTTGTCAGTGGTAATATTTTATTTGTATTTAACTTGAAATATGATAGCATTTTATGGCAAATATTAGTAAGCCAGGCTGATATTTTGCCTTTTCTATCATTGTTTTCCCTGGTGGTGCCATATTTCATGCATTCTCAGATATGCAGCTAAAGAGTTTGGCGTCTTTATTGTCTATTTGCATTACCTAAGCAAAATTAATTAACATCTGTTGGACTGGAAAATTATGCTATGATCCACTGCTTTGGTTTTTCTTATCCCTTAAGATTCTTTTACATAATTAGTTTTATTTGAAGAAGCTTGGAAAGTTTCTGCATTGAGATTTAAAATTCAAACTGTTGCGGTAATTTAGCTTTCCAGGATTTTTACATTTGAATTTTTGTCTTCTCACATACAGTATAACAATATCACACTTAACTGGTGAAAATTTATCTTTTTGTTGCTTTTTTATGGTTACCTATGTATCTGTGATAGTAAAAGAACTTTGTTAACTCTTGTACAGTCTTTGAGTCTCTGATTGACAAGTTAAGTGTGAACTATATAGAACTTTAAGACAGTTTCATGGTTTTAAAGCTGTTAAAAGTTTAAAGTGTTATGTATGCTAAGAGTATCTTCAAGGTGGGTGGATGTTCTCTGTTTTAAGGAATAAGATTATTGGTATTCCAACAGCATTTTTTTTCTTTTAATGTTTTCATCAAGCACCCAGTCAGCTTGAAGAGTCTCAAATGGACCCTACCACTGAGAAATCAAGATGGCAGCCCACTGTGGGGAATAGAGGAAAATGGATTAATACAAGAGTGCTGTGATAATATACAACCAAGACAGGGTTCTTTTAACATGGATTGCATGAAATGAATGAAGACAGTAGATTTCTTACCCTACATAAATGGACAGTGGATTTGACTTTCTAAAGACTTTTTGTATCATTAAAACAAGTCCATTTTTGACATTTGGAATTGAAGATGGCATGTTTTTGTATGCCTGGAATTTTTTTTTCATTTTAATTTTTATTTGTATGAATATGAACTTGTGGAATGTTATCTTTAATAAAATTTCTAACACTTTAAAATTTCTCAGTTTGGGCTTTTTTTTTTGAGCTGAAGGTTCATTAAATTAAATGTTCGATTATCGCCGTAAATAACTCTTTGGCCTTTACAGTTGCCCAGCACTCAAGTGTATTGAATAAAGCTGGTAAAAATGGCAATGGTGTGCTGCAAAATATTTTACTTCGTTGATTAAAATTTTTCTCCAGAAAGTTGTGGAAATGTATTTGTGCTTTTAAGAGATGGTCATTTGGTTGAAATGCTGTTCTATGCTTTCTTAAAATGTCTTGCAAACAATAACCAGCCAGTGGGTAATAATAGAATCTTTAACTTGCCACATGATTTTAATGAACTTTTAAAACAAAAATGCATTTTGCCTCAAAATTCAGGATGAGTGATACAGTGTTTTTCTGAGTTATTTTGTGTTGATGAAAAGATATTTTTTACTTCTTAATATCGTTAATAAAACATCTTGGCATAGAATATTCATCTGAACATTTAAACTGTTACCTCATTTTGTCTTTAGTTAATGTTAGGGGAAGAATTGTTGGCTTTATTAGGAAGTGTCCTTTAGTATATATTCATAAAAGGCCTTGAAATGTTCTGTACCTTAAGAAATTTAAAATAAATAACATCATGCCACAGGCTACTTTTATTTGATTTCCAGGTGAATACTGGCATTATATTTATTGATAATCAGTTTATAAAGGTGTGGTAGACTTTATTTTGCTAGACCAAATGAATTGTTGATAATATTTTCTTATAAAGGAATAGCCCAGCTTGATATTTTTGTTCTTGGTGAGAAATAGTTACTTATACTGTGATTTGCGATTAACGCCAAATACTATAGCACACACATCCATTATCAGTACATATGCAGTATACTCATTGGTTTGAAGTGGTTAGTTTGTATATGTAAAAAGTGGAATTTTGGATTTTGATTTTGGTACAAAAATTATCTTTTGTAGAAAGAAAGTATGGAATTGAAACCGGGCTTTGGTTATGGGTTTTACATTTACCTGGATACAACTTGTTGCTTTTCCAGTGTATGTATAAATGGAAAATGTATATCCTCAGGAAAGGACATTGTTCTGGAAGATTATAATGTTGAACAGGGAGTGTTTGAGTCTTTTTTTGGATGTGTGAATGTTTTCTTGGGTGCTTCCTGGGAGAAAAAGTGTTGAATAACTTGATTTTTGGCATTAGTGTTAATTTTGTTTCCATAGATCTTAGTGTTTTCATATCTAGGAGAATTTGCCCTGTGACATTACTTTGATAATTGTGTTGTCAGATGTGACTGTTAATAACCATTGTCTAAATGTGTATATACATAGAAACGGACTTGAAATACAAGGGAAGATTTGGGGATATATGTGTTGTGTTGGTTTTAGAGGTGGAGTTTCTTGGATTTGTTATTGGAAGGTGACTATGGTAGTTCCATATTCTTGAGTTTAATAACTTTGTTTTGCCTGAATCAGTCTGGGAAGTAAATATATTTTGACTGTGAGATTTTTGGGGGGAGAGGAATTTGCAAGGTTATATAACGGGTTAAAGAATTTTGTGAAAGTATGAAGAAAAATTGAGATGCTAGAATAAAAACTAGTTAATTTTTGCTCTAATGCAACTGAACACTAGGGAGGCGCTCTTGAGTTGTACCCCTTTCTTCCTGTTGGTATGGAAAATGCCCCCTAAAATTTTGTCTTTAGATAATTTGTAGGCTTCATAAAGAAGGCAAAAGTTGCAATTAACTTATGAAATTGAGATTTTGCTTTTATTTAGAAACCATTTTACCCAGGGGGGTTGTTAATTTTTAAAAAGATTAGTACTAAAATGAGCTTAAAATTCTCTTAAGAATTATCCCCTCTTCAAAATGGCTTTATAAAACAGCACTTCCTGTCCAGAGAGGAAGTTATTTTAGCTCAAGGACTGAAATATTTAGCAGATCTTTAGACAAAAGGAACAAATTACATTTCTCTCTGGCTTAAAAAGGGTGCTTGAGCCAGAGGGGGTTAAGAAACCCTCCCCCCTCCCTCTGATGGGGTGGTCTGGAGGGGCAGAGAGGTGTGGGGTGGGGGGTCCTCAGGCTCCCTGGGATGAAAGATTTTTGGTGGAGATGAAGGGGTGGGTCTATGGTACATCACCTGAGTTGTGGGGTAAATGTAGAGAGTGTCAATCAAAGGCAGAGCTCTCAGAGCTGGGAAGGAGGCTCTAGATGGCGGCTGTGCCTTAGAGAGAGCGCGCTCTGCTCCCTGCCTTCGCCTCACTTTACGCAACTTTCCCTAACTTTCGGGCAGCCTCAGGGGGCCCCCGCAGCCCCCTGCCTCTCCTAGTGACTTATTGGGGTCGATTCGAACCTTTTTTAGGGAGAAAAGCAGCTTTTAGGAGCTTTCTTTTCGTGCCTTGTTGGAAAGAAGCAGCCGTACTGAGAGCCCAGGTCGTTGTTTTTTCCAGCTTAGAAGCCATGGCGCACCTCCATTTTTGTGCGCTCTCCTAATGAGGTTTTTTTTCTTCGTACCCGTTTTAATATTAATTGTTGCTTTATTTTTTTTGAACAGTTAACATATTTGAGGGCTATTTTATTTATTTTTGGTCTTTTAGCGGAGAATTTTGTTTTTATTTTTAATTATTTGGGATCTGATATTTTTCTACTACTAGATAGGACTCTTGCTTTGGACTTACTACATGGATCAGGTAAGTTTGTGATCATTAGTGATTATTTTGAAGATTTATATGTTAAAGTTTGCTTTATTTTTTGTAAATATGAGAAATTCCTGTATGACGCAATAAGATACAGAGATTGTTATTTGTATCCAGTGTGTTACTTTGAGAAACTTTCCTTATTGATAGAGATGATTGCCCCTGTTCGGTTTATCCCCTCCTTTTTTTAAGGTAAAAATAGAAATATTTTGTTTTTTGGTGCTTACCGCTGTTGTATTATAACAATATCATTACGTGGTCAGGACTTTGTTCCTGATAATGAAACCATAGCTAGAAGCTGGGACCTTACCTTTCTTTCAACTTTTGACAGTAAATACCTGGGCACAGGACTTCAAAGCAAACACAGATTCCCCCTCCCCCTTAATATTTAAGAATTAAAAGATGATGAGAAATAAGGACAAAAGCCAAGAGGAGGACAGTTCGCCACACAGCAATGCATCGAGGTATGAGCTATCAACTTTCTTCCTTTTTTCTTTTTTTTGGGGGAAACCTCAGCTTACATTGTTTACCTTGACAGACAAGGATAGCTGTCTGTGTTATTTTAAGTATTTTAATAATTTGGATTCGATTTTTAAAGCGTGACCTTGAGACTGCTAATATGCCACACCCTAATTTTTTGGTAGCAATTTATGAAAGTTGAGTTGACTTAAGGCCTCTTACAGCAGTCTAAAGGTAAGGTACCTTTATTCAAGGGGGCCTTTTTTGCAAACTACAGTTTTTCTGTTAATAAACTTCAGGTTTTAGGTTTTTGTGCTGTAGAAAAATGACCTTGTCGGTTTTAGCCATTGCTGCATTGCACCATTTTACATACAAGGCAAATTTTTTCTTTGAAGAAACTAGGATTCCCAAACTTGTAACTGAAGGCCATCGAGGAGCCTTGTGGTAGTAAATTATAGTAAATAGACATTTGAGAAAGTTATATGAATGAAAAAATGTACATTTTAAAAGGAAATTGCAAATGGAACCCCTTGACTGATGCCTCTCAGTTTATATTTTTACTTGATGCTATATTTCTTTTTGATACCTTTGACATTTTAAGAAATTTTGTATGATTTATCAACATTTAGGCAGTGGTTACAGTTCCTGCATTTATGAAATTAAATCTGTGATCCCAGAAATCCTGGAGTACTCCTAATATACTTCTGCTTTGTGTTTGTTACTGTGATTAAAATTGTATATTTTACATTTAAAATATTTTAAGGCTACATTTGTATGCTTACATTCAGACAATGTTTTCTGGTTGGTAGATGTAGTATAGTATATTATCCTGGCACTTTCGTTGTAGCTGCTTTACATTTATTGATTTATTTCGACAGTGCCTTTTGGAATGCTTTATCTTCTGAAGCTTACACAAATGTACTGTTAAAAATCATGATTTGTTTCACATTTGTTGGAGTATATATTAGTGCCTAAGGAATAAAGCCTCTGAGATGTTTGTATGATCTGTATGTTAATTTTTAAACGTATATGAATGCTTTTCTTGTGTTCTTACAAATTGTCATGGTATGAATTTTAAATCATGTAGTTAAGAATGATTATAGTTTTTGTTTCTACTTTTGCTTTTACCATTTTATATAAATAATAGTTTGCTATAGGTTAGTGAATATGCAAGTTTTTAACATGGTTTATTACAAATGTTGACTTTTAATCTGTTTCATTAGACTTCGAATAGTTTACCCTTTTTTTTTTTTCCTCCAAAAATACCTTTCCACATTCTTCTGAAACCTGAGTTGTCACATAGTTTGGTGATGTCTTTTGCACTCCAATGCCCTTGTAATTACACAGGTTAGATTTAGGACTGAGAACTCCTCTACGAGTAATCCTAGACTGATTTTTCTGAAAAGTCACAGTGATTTGAAGAAGTAAGAATCCCCACAGGTGTTTGACAGATCACTAAAGATACAGCACCTAAAATTGTTAATCCCTTGAGTGTGTTTTGCATAGTCTCACTTGGCCTTTGGTTTTCTTATGCAAGGGCTGTGGTTAACGTGGATAAAATTCTGTTTTCTAATTAAAAAGAAAAAGCAGTGTTGCTATTCTTTTAATAATTTCTTTCACCTGGAAAACGACTCTGAAGCTGTCATGTATTTTACCTACTGGCAGTGGGTAGGTAAACAAGATGCATATAGTGTGTTTTTAAATGCATTTTTCAAGTATATTTTGATTCCTGTACCTGATGAATGCCCAAAAATACTTGTGGGACTCCTTGAAGAGACCTTAAAGTTTTAAATTTACTTGAATTATGGTTACCCTAAATTGAATACCTTAACACATGTACATAATTATGACATCACTTCCTTTTAAACTTGTAAAGCTAAAGGATATATTATTGGTGTTTCATTGTAGTACATTGTTATTTTTGTTTTTAGTGAGCTAAAATAAAGGAGACTGTCTCTAACTAGCACTTTGTTCCTTAATCCAACAGAATTTCCCCGTTAAGGACCTGTTTCTAGGTCACAAAGTCTATAGTATTTACTACAAAAACCACTTTTGCACAAGAGGAAGGGAGAACTTTCTGCAGGTCAAGTAAAAACTTTGGCCTGAACTACTTTAGGAGCTGAAGGGGTTGAGTGCAAGTTTACTCTTTTTGGAAAAAACTCAGTCCTTACCAGTGATTATGTAAATTACTCCTGTAATTTGTTGAAGTATATACTTAAGTACAATGTTATATTTTGTATAGCATGGCTTTTGAAGAGTGCAAGTTAACTTTCAAAAATAAGATTTAGAAAAACAGTTGATACCTGTAAAGTTTCTAAATATTTAAAACAAAGTTTCAGTGATGGGCCTGTACAGAAGCGTATACGACACACATGTAAATAATTGACATTTCGAGGTGGCTTTAGTAATACCCAGTAAGGGAAGCAGGAGAGAAGGGAACCAGAATGGAAGTGTGGGCACACAAAGAGTTCTGTGTTGTAGGACTCCTCCGCCTTTGCAATTTATCTTAAGAACTGAAACCTTGTATTAAATTTATCTCCAAATTGCCTCTGAACCAGATTTATTTTGGCAACCTGTGGTACGGTGACATTCAGCTTTTAGCAGTTATTCTAAAACCCTGGGGTGTCTGGAAATGGTAAATGCAGTTGCTTTTGTGGACTGTAAAAAGCCAGTTTTTTAAGTGGCAGCCATTTTATGACACTGTTAATTCTCACGGATCGGGAGTTTTCACAAGACTGAAAATAAAACGAATTGAAACCTGAAATACCAAAACCTCTTCTCCTCCCACCTCTCCTTTTTTGGTCCTCTGGTGCTAAAATAAAGGGCATCTCGGTACTTAGCCCTGGCAGAAGCTCTGCGAGCCCCTGGCATCTTGGTGCAGGTCCAGCTCAGTCACAAAATGGCTGTTCCTTTGTGCCGCAGCGCTGACAGACATACTGCATTGCACTGTGTACTCGCCAAACAGCAGGAAGTTGCCGTGCCGAGTTCAAAGGCCGGCCGGCGCCGGCGCCGAAAGCTGATTGGCTGAGCGCACGCTTGGTAACAGCAGGTCAACAGCGTCGGCTCCGCCTCGTGACGTCAGACGCCTCGTCGCCGACGCGAGTGAACGTGGTGACGTGCTGCGCGCGCAGCCCAGGTGCTTCCCCTTCAGCCCCGCGAGCCCCGCAGCTGGAAGGGGAGCGGGAAGGAAAGGGATCTTGATTTCGGACCTGCGCGGTCGGCGTGGGGAGTTTACTACCCTGAGTAATCTCGCTCCTGGCTGTTCTTTCCACCTTCTCAGGCCGTCTACTTCCTGCAGCACGTATTCTTTTACTTTTCCTGGGAACGGCTTTCTGGTATTAGAAGTAGCTTCTACTTTTGGAGAAAGTAGAAGGCACCAGCCGGAAACCTTCAGATTAAAAAAATTGCCCGTTTTTATATTTTTCGCTTTATTTTCCGGTATCCTATAGCCCCCCCTTTTTTTAAATGTTCAAAATGATTAGTGAGTTGAATTTTGTTGCTATTGACCAAAACTGTTTCACTGTCAAAGGAAACATTTTTATTTAAATCAAAACGTTTTCGCAGGTGTTAGAGCTGTTTTAAATACATGGCTCATAAACAAAGGGACGATTATTTGAGTTTGTCCCCGTGTCCTTTTACTTGGTACCATACCTTTTCTGAATTGGCATTTGATGGAGTAAAGCTCAGGTCAGTATGTGCATAGTGGTTTATTTTTAAGATTAACAACGGGGTAGTAAAGTAGAAGGTATCTTAAAGTTTTTGACTTTAATAACTTAATATTAGGTTAACTTAAAAAATAGAATATAGCTTTAGGCACTCATTACTATGCAAACAGATACTAGGAAAATAACCCTTAAAGCTTTAATAGCACATGCAGAAGAAAAGTGACTCCTGAAACTTAACTGATACTAGAATCACTTGGCAAAGTGTTGGAAAACATCTCAGAATCTGCATTCTGGACATTTTAATTCAGTCCCAATAAATTTGTGGTGATTCTCGTGGCCTGCCTTGTTTGGAAACCCTTGCAAGGGTTTCTGGTTAAAAAAAAAATCAGAGTTTACCAAGGATGACATTATACAGGCACAATTAATTTAAATAAGAAGGCAAGGCTGTATTAGTGTTTTTTCTATTGTACCCGACCAGAGGTTGTTTTGTAAGTCATTGGAGTACTTTTAGCATCAGCAGGAGTGAAGTGTCATGCCGTTGGCCATAGGTCAGACATTTTTTGAGTAAAATACTTCAAAAGAGATGTGTCCCTTACGGGTGTCACTTTATGAAAGGTATAAAGTTCATTGTGGTTTTGTAACTTCTCATAGTTTTGGTACTTTAGGAAGAATTCTTTGGATACTTCATGGAAACTTGAAGTGAAACTGGGTTTTCATTTTGTTTTATAGACTTGATCATCAAAAGTCCTGTAAGTGATTTTTTAAAATAGATTTTATTTATTTTTAGAGAGGGAAAGGGAGGGAGAAATGGAGAGAAACACTGATGTGGGAGAAAAGCACGAATTAGTTGCCTCTGGTACATCCCCCAACTGAGGACCTGCCCGCAACTCAGGTGTGTAACCTGACTGGGAATGGAACTGCCAACCTTTTGGTTTGCAGAGGGACACCCCAATTCACTGAGCTACATCAGTCAGGGCTCTAAGTGATTTTTTTTTTTAATGTGTCAAATGTAACATACTTAACAGCCTTAGAGGCCAATACTGTAGAACTTGAACATAATTGGTGTTTATTTTTAGAGAGATGGGGAGGGAGGGAGGTGGAGATGAAGAGGTCTGTTGCCTCTCTTTAGTGCCCCAACTAGGGGCTGGACCTGCAGGCAACCCAGGCATATGTGCCCAGAATTGAACCTGCGACCTTGAACTTTGAGGCATGACACCCAACCAACTGAGCCACACCCTCTCTGGTTAGGGCCTTTCCAACTTCTTGAAGTTCATGAAAAACAACAAGAACAAAGGTTTTCTTTGTTTGGTTTGCTTGTTCATTAAGATTAAATAGTTATA